TGAAATGTTTCAGCAAAGTGATGCAGTTCTGGAGGCACTCACTCCTTTAGTCTAGGCAAGAAATTTGGAAGACAGCTAGTAGATCAGTCAGTTGGACGAGATCTATACTTGTGCCCATCCCAAAGAAAGGTGACCCAACAGAATACAGAAATCATTGAGTAGTGTCATTAATATCTTATTCAGGTAAAATTTTGCTGAAGATCAGTGAAAACCAGTGGCAGCAGTACATCTACAAGGAACTGTCAGAAATGCAAGCCCAATTCAGAAGAGAATGCAGTACAAGGAATATATCATTGCTGATGTCAGATGGAGCTTGGCTGAAAGTACCAGAAAAATTTTACTAATGCTTTATTAGCTACTCAAAGGTGTTCCTCTGTGTGGATCATTATAAACTATGGATAACATGGTGACTGATGATATCCCAGAACACTTAATTGTGCTTGTGAGGAACCTGTGAAAAGGCTAATCGTTAGAATGGAACAAGGGGATAGATTACTAAGTGGTTCAAGATCAGGAAAGACGTGTGTCAGAATGCAACCTTTACCATACTTATTCAATCTTTATGTTGAGCAAATAATCTGAGAAAAACTGGATTATATGAAGAACATGTCATCAGGATTGGAGGAAGACTCATGAACAAATTGCGATATGCAGATGATATAACCTTGCTTGCTGGAAGCAAAGAAAACTTAAATATTTAGTAACAAAGAACAAAGTCTTTAGTATGATTTGTACCTCAATGTAAAGAAAATTAAAATCCTCACAACTGGAACAATGAAAACATCCTGATAAATGGAGAAAAGATTGAAGTTGTCAAAGACTTCAATTTGCTTGCTCCCACAATCAAAGCTCATGGGAGCAACAGTTAAGAAATCAAACAACATATTGCATTGGGCAAATCATTTCAAAAGACTTCTTTAAAATTTTTTAAGCAAAGATGTCAGTTTGAGGATTAAGGATTTAACTAGATTCCTTGTAATTACCGTATTCTTGTCTTTGAATCCTTGGTTCTTGGCAGAGTAGAAACACGTAAATGTGTATTCTATGAATGACTAGTTGACTTTCTTGTTATATTTACAACAGATTATTCACAGCATTGACACTATAGGATCAGCACTGGACTGTGAACCACAAGGTCGGCAGTTCAAACCCACCACCTGCTCCTTGGAAACCACCATATACAGAACAGGGTCGCTATGAGTTGGAATCAGCCAGATGGCACTTAAGAACGACAACATTCACAGCAGTAAATTGTTTTGTTAATTAATGAGCTAACTGAAGCTAAGCCATTGTGTCATCAAGTTGGTTCTGACTCCTAGTGACCCTGATTAGGGTTACCAATGTAGCTGGTGGGTTTGAACTGCCGACCTTGTAGTTCAAATCAACCTTGTGGTCCCTTGCAGTATCCTGCAGTGCCATACCAGGACTCCAACCAGTTTATAATGAATCTTTATAGTGAATCATATCATGGAGGTTAATGTCCTAAAAAGCAACTACCATAATGAGCTCTGAAGGGTTGTGTGAGTGTGTGTGTATGTGATATTTAGGTGAAAATTTATCAAGCAAATTGGTTTTCCGTTCATCAGTTCAGACATATTTTGTTTCGTGGCATTGATTGCAGTCCCCACACTAACAGTTCCTCCATGTGTTAACCATTTCCCTTTGTCCTTCATTCCTATCTTTCCCTGCTGGCCTCTGAGCTTTATCCCTGGCAAATGCTATCCTTTAGCATATGTGTGTGTGTGTTTCTGTTCATTGTGTTGTTCAAGTCTCACCACTTACTTATTTGCAAATTTTTCCATATATAGTGACCTTTTGTCCAAATCTTAAAGCCATCTTTTAAGGATGCCCTTATAGTTCTTTTTTATTATTATTATTTTAAATTAAACAAGTTGTCTTAATTTCTTTCTTTCTTTTTAAAATCCTTTAAAGAGCTGGTGATATTTTGGGATATTTTAATTCTTTAGACATCTATACAAAATGTCCTCCTATTTACACACTTGATTCTCACAGGTAATAGTAGAGTTAAATAGGAACTCAGACTGTTTAAGTGGAGAGTCAGGCATGAAGTCTAAAGTTTGAAACTGCTACTGTTTCTTCTCACTCATTCCCATCACTTCTCAGATTCCTAGATCATTCCTGCTGGTCTAAATACTACTTTTGTCACATGGAAACACTGTGAAATACCATCCTCTGATAAGTATTTGGGAGGGAAAGAGTAAGAGAATAAAGCAACAGGCATTACAAAACTCCTGGCAGAATTTTAAATATTGTACCTTTGAAGCTAACCATCACAGCTAAATGTCTAACACTGTTTTATGTCTTTTCTACAAAAAGCCTCATCAAATAATGGAGTAAGAAAACCTCAGTCTTCTTTATCAAGGTTTAAAATGTATGGTTGTCACTTTCCTCTAGATAACCTCTAATTATAGCAGATAGATTTGAAGTGTAAAATAGCTCTGCCTAATGGACGCTGTCACTCAGTTGCATTCTGTTTCCCCTCAAGACAGGATGTATGTTGTTCAGATACAGAGGTTTAGAGTCCAAAAGATGTCAAGTAAAATACTAATTTCTAACTGTCTCCCTCAAGCATTAATATTCATGTAAAAAACTATTCTATCACATAATGAAAAATAAATGTATATGAATTCCTGACACTGACTTTTAAATATATAAAAATGAAATAATTACCTTTCATATGATAAAAATTATTCTTTGGAAAATCTGTTAGTTTTCATTTATACTAAAATTCTAAGTATAAACATTTTAGATCGGAAGATAGCTATTTCTTATAAAACATCTGAACGATTTTTAAATCTCTAACTGGTTTTAATGTAAGTGAAGGCTCTTTAATTACAGAAGATGTTAGTTTCATTTAAATTTATTAAGTGAGAAATGCTTAAATAAAAAATAATAGCCTTTAAAAATGAACTAGGTTTCTTAAACTATAAAAATTATATGATAATTATAAATTTCAGCCCTGGGTATTTAGTGGTATGAAAATGTATATTTAAAATTTCAGATATGATAATTATATATATATATATATTTTAACTTTTAAAAATATTTACTGAAATATGTTTGGAGGAAGTAAGTCTGGTTGCTTCAAAATTGCATCTGTAGAATAGAGAGGACAGGTAAAACAGAATGGCCATGTGTGGACAATTGAGTTACATGAGCATTCTTTATACCAATCTGTCCACTACTATATGTTTAAATTTTTCCATTTAAAACTTACATATTTTTCAAGATGTGAGTAGAAGGGGAAAATGAAGCTAAAAAATCAGAAAATTTGAACTTGTACCGCATGGTTTATTTCCTCTTATAACTTGCATGAACCTGGGATTTCTCAGTAGGAAGATAGGCTCAAATTTTTAGCTTGGACATGGGACTTGATAAATGGGACTTAAAGAGTTAGCTGGACCACTAGGAAAGGAGTTGGCCTATTTGTTATGTTTCAGCGGTGGAAGCTTTTATAAAGGACTACAGTTCAGGTGCCTTGGAGTCTTTTATTCCACCCTTTGTTGTTGTTAAGTACCAGCAGGTCTGTTCTGACTCAGATCAACCCCTATATAGGGTTTCTGAGGAGTGGCTGGCTGGTGAACTTGAACAGCCAACCTTGCTGTTCAAACCAACTTTGCAGTCCAGTGCACTAACCTGCCTTCTTTTTTACATTTAGAATAAAATCCAAAATGCTTAACATAATTTAAAAGGATTTTTATGATCTATTTCCTGCCTTCCTCTCCTGTTTTATTCCAGGCTGTTTGATTCACACCCACTGTGTTCCATCAGTGCTGGTTTTTATTTTTCTAGAATCTGCCTGGTTTTTTCTTGCCTTTGATACATTTACATTGCCAACTCATTGCCTGACCAACTCCTACTCAACCTTCAAGTCTTAGAGTAGTGTTATTTTCTTTGTCCCTTCATAATAATAGATATAATTATATATCTGTGTAACTATTTGATGCCTGCCTCTGCCCTCATCATAAGAGCAGCAGTGATACTATTTTGTTCTTCGGTATAACCATAGAGCCTATCACAATGCCTGCCAGGTAGAAAACACTCCATAAACATTAGTTCAACAGAGGACTAAATGAGTGAATGGTAGATAAGGCTCATTCTCTTAGAGCAGCACTGATTGTTAAAAATCATGTATTTCTTCTCATCACTCTTTTCTGTGCATGGGATATAAAGCAAGTACCTCTCTCATTTTGTTGTTAGTAGAATTGTCATCCTTGGTGTTCATGGGGAATTGGCTTCAGGACCCCCAGGATACCAAAATGCACAGATGCACAAGTCCCTTGTAGAAGATGGCATAGTACTTACATACAACCTACACACATCTTCCTGTATCCTTCCTGTATTAGGTACTATAAATAAATCATCTCTAGATTCTTTATTGTACCTAATGAAATGTAAGAAGTTCTTGTGTGGCACTGTAGGATAAGCACTGGACTATTAACTGTTCAAACCCACCAGCAGACTCCACAGCACCTAACAGTACAATGTAAATGATATGAACAGCACTTTAAGCTCCCTCTTAGCCCTTAAAGGATTGCTTTGACCACTTAATTGTCCATCTCCCGCCCGCCCTCCCTCCCAATATTTCTGATCCATGGTTGGCTGAATTCAGGAATGTGGAACCCACCATGAATGGTGGTAGTGTGCTGTGGAGTCAGTTCTGACTCTTAGGGACCCCCGTTCGAATAGAGTATCCAAGACTATCAATCTTTATAGGAACAGAAAGCCTCATCTTTCTCCTACAGAGTGGCTGGTAGATTCAAACTACTGACCTTGTTGTTAGCAGCCCAGCTCATAACCCACTATGTTACCAGGGCTCCTTGTACTAGGAAGGAGCACTATGATGGATCAAGTTAATTACAGTGGATAATTGTAACTACGCCTTAAATCATTAAAGAGTGATATTTACTTGTATTTATGATGTTGCATTTTGTTTCCTTTTTAATTCTCTAAATTTGACTTTTTCCCCCTTTTCTCAGGTACTCTCTGCCCTTGACATTCTCCAACCTCCGCACATTGACTATTTTGAAGAAATGTATCCTATCCAGGGAATGTGAAAGAAGGGAACAATTTTTTATTAATTTGTTCTTCTATTACCCTTGGGGTTCATACCTTGAAATGTATTAAATAACAGCCTTGCAGAAGTGCTGAAACCAGGTAATTTTGAAATCCAGAGCATTCTGGCAGAGCTTAGTGTTGTCAGTATGTCCTGTGAGGTAACACCACAAAACAGAACTTCTGTATAGATATCTTATTTAATCCCCACACAGCCTTATGAGATAGGTTATTAGCATCTCCATTTTGCAAATGAAACTTGTAGTGGAACCCAATAAAGTGCCTGTCAGTCAAGAGGATAATAACTGCTCTTCTTTCTACACTGCTTGGGGTAAGATGAAAATTAAACTAAATGTTTTGAGTTCTATGGAGTCTGGTGGCTCTGATGATGGTAATGACCATTATATAGTTTTTAAGTGTTTTACACATAGGAGTTGATTTCGTTTCGGTTGGGGGTGAGGGGGAGGAAACATATGAGAAAGGTGTTGTAATTATTGTCATTTTATAAAAGAGGAAATTGAAGGACAAAAGATAGAAACTTACCCAAGGTCACAGAGCGAGTCTTGGAATTGAGGTTCAGTCCCAGACAGTGTAACCTGCGCAGTCTTAATCTATTAACACTGTACTCCTGTTACTGTTTCCCTGGTGGCATAGTGGGCTGTGGGTTGGATTGCTAACTGCAAGGTCAGTAGTTTGAATCCACCAGATGCTCCACAGGAGAAAGATGATCCCATAAAGATTTACAGCCTCTGACGTCCTATAGAGACTCTGTGAGTTAGAACCAACTCTAGGACATACACCTTACTGCAGTTAATGTGTAAAAATAGTATGTTATATTATGGGTAATAATGAACCAAAACCAGTTCCTGGTAATAGATCCTATGACTGTACATTCAAACATTGGAACATAAATTAGCCTATCTAATATTCCTAGGCAGTGTGTTACCATTTACCATTCTACATTTAAACTCTAAGTGAAAGATAGCAATTCCTAAATGACTTAATTTGATGAGCTCATGAAAGTACAGTTTATTTGTTGTAGGCTTTTAAATGAACATTTTAGCCCTGTGACTCAGAACGCAAATTGTTATGATAGTGGGATACTTGTACTGATCCAAGAGTGAGATAAATTGATAAATGATAATCCTTAGTGATACCTTTTAATCCAGAAATCTTTTATGGATCCAACCTTTGTGTAGTAAAGAGTTATTTGAGCAGACTTGGGTTCTCACTAGCTCCTGACTGTTAAAGATTGTATACCCTAGACCTTGGGCCAGATCATATAGTTTTTGCTTACAACATGATTTAAGATGAACATTTGGTTTTGTTCACCTGCACTCCTGGGCTACACTGTATCTATTTGGCCTATTGGGGAAAATACTAACTACTGAGTAACTAAAGTCAGTCACCTAGTTTGCACCATTTTCACTTACTGTCATGTATTAGGTTGGATGTTGTTGCTGGAAGAGTTAACTTCTGTGTGACTCCAACCCAACACAAGCTTCCAGCTAACCTCTCTGTGGGAGAAACTCTCTGTGGGAGAGGCTAGCTGGAATCTTGAGTCAGGTTTCTCCTGGATTTCTTTCTATGCATCTTTTCTCCTTTTCTGATTTTGCCTTCTTTTAGCTGTTATGAACTTTAACCAAGAGTATAATAGCTTTTCTGGGTCCTGTGAGTTCTTCTAGTGAATCCTCATGGTCAGGGGGAACCTTGAAACACTTTTTACCAAAAAAAAAAAAAAAAAAAAAAAAAAACAAAAATAACCTAAGAATAGAAGAATTTTGAAAATTCTTTTCTCCTCCACTATGGGTCAGTAGGAGTCCTGGTCTGGCACTGTAGGATAAGCACTAGCTCGCACAGTCGATTTGAGCCACAAGGTCAGCCATTCAAACTCACCAGCTGCTCTCGGAACCCCTATTATAGGGTCTCTATGAGTCAAAACCGACTCAACTGCACTTAACAACAAATGGGTTGGTAAAGTCCATAAGTGCTAAAAGGTTGGAAGTGATAACCCACCCATTGGTACCAGGGAAGAAAGGCCTGCCTAGTGATCTGCTTTCATTAAGATCACAGCCAAGAAAATTCTGTTGAGTAGTTCTACTTTGTAGTGTGCATGAGGTGGCCATGCGTCAGAATGGGCTTGACAGCAACTAGCTACAGTGTGTCAGTGATGGCAACTTAAGAGAAGACACCAGCAATTCTATTTCACAGACTTCTTCAAACTTACTTGGGTCGTCACTGAACAAAAGGAGGCATCTGATGGCCATGGGGCAGCACTTGTTTCCTTTCCAAAGAAGTCCCTTCTTATAGCCGATCAACAACTTTTAGCTGGTGGGAAGGAATTCACATTATTATGAATGTGTAGCACTATTTCTGCCTCTTTGGAAATAATTACAAACCTTCAAATTAGAAGCAATCTCATTTATTAAGTAAGCATTTTACTCTATTACTCATTGTGCTCAGTGATTCACTAGGACACACAGAACTCAGAAATGTTGTTGTACTCATGGTTACAGGTTATTACAATGAATGGATACAGGTTAACATAAGCGAAGGATAAGAGTCCAGGAGAAACCCAGCATGAGCTTTCAGGTGTCCTCTCCCATGAGGGCACACCAACAGCACTTATAATTCTCCCAAAAAATTCACATGACATATGCAAATGTTACCAACCAGGGAAGCTCATCTAAGCCTTGGTGTTTAGGGTTTTCATTGGGCATCAGCCATGTAGGTATGAAGTGCCTGTGTGACTGACCTTAGCCACTCAGTAGCTAGTATATAGATTCTTTCCCCAAGAGGTCAATTGGGGACCCAGGTACACAAAAAGATGTGTTTATCATATATCATATATTTATTGTTGATAAGTGTCATCAAGTCAGTTTTGACCATAGCATTACTGTATAGGATTTTCAAAGAGCAGCTGGTGGGTGTGAACCACCAACCTTATTGTTAGCAGTCTACTGTTTATCCTACACAACCACACCAACATAGTTAACATAAACCATATGGAGCATATGAAGGTCTCAGGTATACCAAAACATTCTTTTCAGGCAGGATATTTTAAGGGCTTACAGGTTAAAGGCCACTGTGAAGACCTTTGAAATGTGTAGGGTTTAGGCAGCCTTGACTACTGAGTTAACCCTTTACTACACAAGGACCAACTCTGGGCCAATCATGTTTTCAGATAAGTTGGTGAATATGGCTATATTTAATAAATGCCAGGTTTATTTAGGAGCCCTGGTGTAGTGCTGTAGGATAAGCACTCCACTGCAAGGTCGGTTTGAACTGCAAGGTTGGTGGTTCAAACTCACCAGCCGCTCTTCAGAAACCTCATACAGGGTCTCTATGAGTCGGAACCGACTTGATGGCACATAACAACAAGGTCTATTTAGGTTCTCTTCACTAAACATTTAGCTAATTCATTGTGTTCATTTGTACCTTACAGATCACAGAAGAATTATTTATGTCAGGCATTAATTTTGTGTATTTGGGTTTGTCATTACTTTTTTATATATAATTTATTTTGTTGTTGTTTGGGGGGATATATGCATCAGAACATATGCCAATTCATCAATTTCTACATGTACATTTCAGTGAAATTGGTTACACTTCTCAAGTTGTACAATCATTCTCACCATTTTTTTCGGAGTTGTTCCTTTCTCCTTTATCATAAACTCGTTGTCCCCTAAGGTTCCCATCTAACCTTTCAAATTGTTGCTAGGTAGATTTTAAAACCTTTAAGTTCTTTTCTAAGCTCAAGTTTTAGCGTGCTAAAGTACCACATTTTTCATGTTGCACTTTTTTGAGTTTGTGTTTGAAACTCTGTATGAAAACAGTTTGGCACTTAATTACTTTACAACCACTTGAAATGTAATCCAGGAGAAGCCAGTTCTAATTGGTTGATTGGAAAACAATATTTATTATGCTTCAGTCATGATTTTGGACTTTGCACAATACACATTAACAGAGTCCTTACCAGAAAACCTGTTGGATTGAGACTTAATCTCAGCATATGCAGACTAATAGAGGTGGTGGCTGGTCTTCTGTGCAGAAGCATTCCCATCTAAACCCAGTGGAAGTAGAAATCTATTGGAGTGACCACATATTCCCATTTACCAGGCCAGTCCCGTGTTTTACCTGATGTCTGCTATAATTAATTATTTGTAATGTCTTCTTTGACTTGCAGATGTGTCCCTTTTTGGATGATAGCTTTGGCAGACAGAAATCTCTGCCACAAAAGCACATAGCCTACATTTTTGTCCATTAATTAATATTAGGGTCCTGGTGTGGCTCTTAAGATAAGCACTGTAACAAGGTCAGCAGTGCTAATCCACCAACCATGCCTCAGAAACCCTATACAGGGGCTCTCTGAGTTGGAACCGATTCAGTGGTGCTTAACAACAACAACAATATATACCCTGTTTTATACCAAAGTTTTATCATGTAAAGTAAGACTATACAGTGTATGATTTTGCAACAGCTGCTAATACATAACAGCTCTGTCACCCTCAAGGAATGTAAAAAGTCATTGGAAAGCTAAGAACAAAAAAATATGTATACGATTCCTATTAAAGGGGAGCTGGGAGTGGAGTGTGTCCATTGGACCTTGAGTCCCAACACTTTGAAGCTCCTAAGTCAGGGAAAGATTGATGCCAAGACACATGGAGATCTCCAAAGAATGCTGGGTTGACACATGCTAAAAGGAGACAAGGACCCTTCTCCAGAGCTCTGAATTCAGATTGTTAACGTCCACAACTGTGAGAGCATGGGAGAAAAGAGGAGACTTTCTGCTCCCATAAAAGTTTGTAGCTCAGAAACCCTATGTAGGGCCACTATGAGTCAGAGCCAATTTGATGGTAGCTAACAACAACATTCCATATTCCAATTTCAGACATATTGTCAGGAGGGAGCAGTTGCTGGAGAAGGATATCATGTTTGGTAAGGTGGAGGATCAGAGAAAAGGAGGAAGACCCCCAACAA